ACTTTATCACTTATACAAAAATGCTACTCTCAAAATTTATCCTGGATTTTTTTTTGTCGAGATCCTAAATATGGTTAAACTTGAGCAGATTAGAAGTTGATTTCAGACCTAACCCAAGTTTCTCAATGTAGATTTAAACTCGAGTCTAATTTTATTGGTAAATATTTTATGAACTCCAATTGGAGAGAAAATTCGAACTGGGTATAGCGATAATAAAACACGTTATTCTAACCAACTTAACTGATCTTAGGTTTGCAGGATGAGTTTTAAATTTATTGGGTGGGTTAGACTAGTCACCTTAAATTTTATTGAACTTACTGCAAATTAGACTCCATATTGCCCGTTCCCTTTCCACCACCTTTTTTTTTTTATTTTTTTTAAATAATAATACCGACACGGAAATTGGGTCCTTCTCACTTGGAAGTTTGATCCCTTCCACGCTTTCACATGGTCTTCTTCACACCCAGCTGAGATCTCACAGACACATCACACACTTCCAATCACCTCTCTCTCTCTCTCTCTCTCTCTCTCCTCATTCCACTTTCCAATCAGCTGAGAGAGAGAAAACTCAAACCCTTCTGCTGCTGCTGCTGCTGCTGCTAGAATCAAAACACCATTCAATCATCAATAATCGATCATACTCTGTTTTGAGCGTTCTGATCGGAAGTTTTGGTTGCTCCAATGGCGGTGGCCATGCGAGGCAGCCGAGGAGGAGGGTCGGGTTTTGGCGGGTTCAGCCTCCGGAGCTTCTTCTCGTACCGGATCTTTGTCTCGGCTATGTTCTCTCTCCTCTTCATTGCCACGCTCTCTGTTATCCTCACCACAAATCCTTCAACTCCGCACCACGACTCTGTATGTATTGCCCCCTCTTCCCTAAATCCATTTTCTCCCAATTATTTATTTAATTAATCGAGGTTTAGATTGAAATTTTGAAGCTTTAGCAAAACCCAGATGTTAATTTCACTTATCAATCACAACCCACGTTCTAATTTTGACATCTGAACAAATCCCAGATTGGAAAGAAAAAACCCATGTGAAAATCTTGGAGTAGTACAAAACCCAGATGTTATTTTTTTCAATTAGATAGGATTGAAGTTTTAATCTTGATGTTTAATTGATTGCAGGCACTTCCAACAACTGGAAACGGGTACATGCGTAGGACGTTTTTAGCTTTAAATTCCGACCCTTTGAAAACCCGATTAGATTTGATATATAAGCAAGCCAATGATCATGTTACTCTGGTGAATGCTTACGCGGCGTACGCCAGGAAGCTTAAGCTTGAGATATCTAGGCAAATGAGGATGTTTGATGATTTGGCGTCAAATTTCTCTGATCTTCAAATGAAGCCGGGTTACAGAACCGCATTGTTTGAATCAGACGGTCCGTTGGATGAGGATGTTTTGAGGCATTTTGAGAAGGAGGTGAAGGATAAGGTCAAAATTGCTCGGTTGATGATCGCGGAGTCAAAGGAAAATTATGATAATCAGCTCAAGATTCAGAAGTTGAAGGATACCATTTTTGCTGTTAATGAGTTGCTTATAAAGGCAAAGAAGAATGGGGCATTTGCAAGCTTGATTGCCGCAAAATCGATACCAAAAAGTTTGCATTGTTTAGCCATGAGACTTGTTGAGGAAAGAATATCGCATCCGGAGAAGTACAAGGAAGAAGAACCAAGCCCCGAATTTGAGGATCCAAGTTTGTATCATTATGCAATTTTTTCGGATAATGTCATTGCAGTCTCAGTGGTTATACGATCTGTGGTGAAGAACTCGGTTGAACCGTGGAAACACGTTTTCCATGTTGTTACAGATAGGATGAATCTTGCTCCGATGAAGGTTTGGTTTAAGATGAGGCCTGTGGAGAGGGGTGCGTATGTTGAGGTGAAAGCAGTAGAAGACTTCACTTTCTTGAATTCTTCATATGTGCCGGTGTTGAGGCAACTTGAGTCAGCAAAGTTGCAGAAGTTCTACTTTGAGAATCGGGCAGAGAATGCTACCAAGGATACACAAAACATGAAGTACCGGAACCCCAAGTACTTGTCAATGTTGAATCACCTTCGGTTTTATTTGCCGGAGATGTATCCTAAACTGCGCAAAATTCTCTTTTTGGATGATGACGTTGTGGTTCAGAAGGACGTGACAGGATTGTGGAAGATTGATTTGGATGGCAAGGTGAATGGAGCTGTTGAGACGTGCTTTGGGTCCTTCCATCGTTACGCCCAGTATTTGAATTTTTCACACCCACTTATCAGGGAGAGGTTCAATCCCGGGCTTGTGCTTGGGCCTACGGGATGAATATTTTTGATCTTGATGCTTGGAGGCTGGAGAAAAGCACCGAGCAGTACCATTACTGGCAGAACTTGGTAAGTGTTTATTTTCAACGTAAATTCCTTGTGTGTATGAAGATTAAGTACCATTCGGGTTAGCATTTTCGAAGTATGTTAATCCTTCCACAGAAGCACTTATGATTTTCACTTTGGAATTGCTAGCCAAATGGCACAATATGTAGTTGAAGTACAATTGCGCCGTTACTTTTCATAAGTGGAATGCATCATTCATAGTGATCGGTGAGTACTTTTGCCCATGAATTTTTGCAGAATGAGGACCGGACTCTATGGAAGCTGGGGACTCTTCCGCCGGGGCTGATTACCTTCTACTCGAAGACCAAGTCTTTGGACAAGTCATGGCATGTTCTTGGGCTGGGGTACAATCCCAGTATTAGCATGGACGAGATTAGAAAAGCTGCGGTCATTCATTACAACGGAAACATGAAACCTTGGTTGGACATTGCTATGAACCAATACAAGAAACTGTGGACGAATTATTTGGACAATGATATGGAATTTGTTCAAATGTGCAATTTTGGCTTATAGAAAAGAAAAACCATCTTCACTGCTCGGATCTAAGTTCATCAGCGAGTCGCAGCTATTGTCAGTCACTACGTGCTAATTCTCACAAGTTTTGTGTTCCTTCGTTAGTCGCAATCTCAGAGCGAAGCTCGGTGAGAAACTATGTCGTCTTCTTTTTTTATTGTTGGGAAAAGCTGTCTGTTATGCTTGCCTAAATGTTGTATCTGTTGTTCATGTGAATCATGGATTGTAAACAGCCAGATTGGGAATGTGTACGTAGCAATTCTTTTGCACTTTGCAGTATATATTTGTAATTCACAGATTCAGATTACTTGAAGCTTTAGCGAAAACCCGGTGACAACTACCACTGAAGTTTCGATGGTTGAAGCATTCATCAAACGAATCCGATCTTACCCTAAATTATCTCTATCAGAAGACTCATCTCTCACTTTTTGTTGACGGGAAGTCGAATAGAATGCAGTAATGGTTGAAGCATTTGTTGTTTGTGAATGTTCTTAGTGTTCCTCCTAATGTAGGAAGATCTTATTTGTGGCGAGGGTTGTTGATCCATGTTCTTAGTATTCCACCTAATGTTGTTATTACATAATCATTATTCATTTATCAAATTTAGTAGGAATCTTATTTGTGGCGGGACTTCGGCTAGGGTACATAATAAATTCATCATCTAATGGTTGGATACAATATTTTTTTTCTTTTTGGTTGCATATTTTAGATTATAATATATATTAAGTAAAGGGAGTTTTAACGAAAAGTCCGCATTACTGTTCACTTTAACGAAAAATCATATTTTTACACTAAAAAGTCAATTCTAGGTACTATTCACTTTATCCATTTATTTTGTTCTTATCGTTAAAACTCAAAGTTTTCGAAGCTCTTTTTATTAGTTTTTTGTTAAGTAAATGCATATAGCGGGGTCATCTTATTTGTGATTGGTGGATAAGAAATCACATTCATATACAAAGGAATTAAATCCCCTTCAGACCCAAAGGAACTGAGCCCAGTGATCAAATTATCCGGGCTATTGAAATTTGATTACAACGGCTACAATTATTATAACTTTTAGAGGGCCCCTATTTGTGATCATTGATCAAATTTTAATGATCTGAATCATTTGATGAGTGAACTCAGTTTCTTTGGGTCTGGAGAGAATCTGGTTCCATATACAAAGACCCAAACGGAATCTTGTGGTGTGCGGATGCTTTGCAAATGGTGACATCATGTTGACATGGTTAATGTCTAATTTATTCATGTAATTTGCAATTGGACAAAAGTGTCCACTGAAATAATGTCCAGGTCAGATGCATATGCTTTCCTAGATCCATTTCAGATTCTTATCGCATTTAAAATTGAAAGGTCAATTGAGTTGAAAATAGTGTTGAGATTAAACAGGATAGTGTAAGTGGAAGAAAATTCTATATGATTATCATTTGGTTATAATATATTTGTAATGTGCTACTTAGTACTATGATCTAATGACGTAAGTAAATGATTTTAGATTTGAGTTTGAATCACATTATTGCTAGTTCATTATGAGATTAAGTTTAATTTCTCCATACGTAGATAATATCGTTTGTTAAAAAAAAAAAAAAGGCTTGCAATGCTCACCTCTCGAGACAAGGGTATGAGCCTATGAGGAGCAACAAGGTAGGAGTTCACTCATAGAAATCTTGGCACGATTTCTCATTAAGATAACAGGACAATTTTTCTTTTCTCAAATTAAACCATATCTCGGTGTCCTCGTTTGAAAAAGAAGAACACAAGCCACAAGGGACCCTTTTGATTAAATGAAAACTTTTTAAGAGCTTCTAGCTCAATGAGTTAATGACGTTTGACCGTGTGTTCGAGATCTTGAGTTCAACTTTCTTGTAATATTTGTATAGTAAAATACAACGTAGAGGTGACAAATGTTTTTTTTTTTTTTTTTTTTGAGTGCATCGATATTTTGACATTAGAAGAAGGAGAGTTCGACTAAACCACAATCTAATTTGATATCAAATTCATCATCTACAAAATTCAAACATAAAACCTTCCACCACTTAGAGGAATACCGCTAGAGTAAGTTGGCGGACATGACAAATGTTGAACGAAAGAGAAAAACTGTTGCGCCGCTCAACTGTTGCGGTACGTTGGAGGGGCTTAGCATATGTCCACGTCACCTAACCCATCTTCAACGACGGCTTATACCACCTCACCTACCGAGCCAGATGCTAATCTTGACCCGCTATACCAAGAAAATATTTTTTCTTAATATAAAAGCTCAACACTTTCCGCCTCCCACAGATCTTTGATTTCTTGGGTTCTGTTTGATTTCCTCAGATTTTCAATCCCCTTTCTCTCCTTACAGAAGAACACTTTCAGGTTTGGATCCTTTTGCTTTCTGGGTCTTGATCAAAATGCTCCCCTTACTGATTTACTTTACTGAATGTAATTACATCCATAAAATTATTTGACTTGCTGCGGCTAAAAATCATAGCTTTTCTGACATTTGATTGGTTCCTATGATTTGGGATTGTTGATCTCTGTTCGTTTTGTTAGTGTGCTATTGGGTTGCTCTTGATCTTGACGATGAATTTGGTTTTGCAATAATCTATGGATTCTTGGGATTTTTCAGATTGATTAGATCATGCTTTTTAGTTCATCCAATCAGTTTGGTTGATGGGTTCTACAATTTTATGATTTTTATATTAAATATGATTTGAGTTTTGTTATAGATAAGTATAAGTGGGTCTGGTTTAATTTGGTTAGCTTCAGAGTTCAGAGAATTCACTCTTGTGGGTTTCTACGGAGGTTGTGAGACAATGAAAGTTTAGTTTTTTTTATATTTGTTTGTCCATTGACTCGATCGGAACAATTGGACTGTAAAAGTTAGGGCTTAGTGATCAAACTGGAGTACCATCGTTTTACATTAGATTTGTTAGTTTAGTGTTATTCATCTGAGGATCATATACTTAATGTTTAATCTCGTCTATGTTCTACAATTCGAAATTAGTATGCAGGGCTTAGTAAGTTCTTACGGGAGTATCATCGTTCGTTAGATTTGTTGTTTTAGTTTAATACATCTGAGCATCGCATACATAATTTTCAATCTCATCAGTGTTATACAATGCTAAAATTAGTGTGTAGGCATTGAAATAGGTGATTACATGTGAAATTATTTTTATGATCTGTAGTTCTGTTATTTGAGCTATTGAAGTTTGCTGGATTTCATTGAATTATCCTCTGATTTTGTTCCCGGGACTCCCAGTTTTTTAGATTTGTACTCTATGTTTCTCCAGTATGTGGATCTAGTCTGACAGTCTCACTAACAATTGCAAGTAGCAGACAGGGAAAGAGATGGCTGCACCACCAAAACCCACAAGAATAGGCCTTGCCGGTTTGGCTGTCATGGGCCAAAATTTGGCCCTCAACATTGCAGGAGAAAGGCTTCCCCATTTCAGTATACAATAGAACTACCTCCAAAGTTGATGAGACTGTTGAGCGAGCTAAGAAGGAAGGAAACCTTCCCCTTTATGGATTCCATGATCCGCAATCTTTTGTTAAGTCAATCCAGAAACCCCGTGTCGTGATCATGCTTGTCAAGGCTGGGGCGCCTGTTGACCAGACCATAAAGACCCTCTCCGTCCACCTGGAGAAAGGCGACTGCATCATTGATGGTGGTAATGAGTGGTATGAGAACACTGAGAGGAGGGAGAAAGCCATGGCTGAATTAGGTCTTCTTTACCTTGGAATGGGAGTTTCAGGTGGTGAGGAGGGGGCTCGATACGGGCCTTCTATGATGCCTGGAGGATCCTTTGAGGCCTATAAGTACATTGAAGACATTCTTCTTAAGGTGTCAGCTCAAGTTCCGGACAGTGGTCCCTGTGTGACTTACATTGGCAAAGGTGGGTCTGGTAACTTTGTCAAGATGATTCATAATGGGATTGAATACGGTGATATGCAGCTCATAGCGGAGGCTTATGATGTGCTGAAATCAGTGGGAAAGTTGTCAAATGAGGAACTCCAAAAAGCTTTCTCAGAGTGGAACAAGGGTGAGCTTCTCAGCTTCCTGATTGAAATCACTGCCGATATATTTGGAATCAAGGATGACAAGGGAGATGGATATTTGGTTGACAAGGTTTTGGACAAGACTGGCATGAAGGGTACTGGTAAATGGACTGTACAGCAAGCTGCTGAACTATCAGTTGCAGCTCCAACAATTGAATCTTCTTTGGATGCAAGGTTCCTTAGTGGGTTAAAGGACGAGAGGGTTAAAGCAGCTAAAGTGTTCAAATCAGCTGGCTTTGAGGATAGCTTGAATGCCCCAGAGGTGGATAAGGCAAAGTTGATCGATGATGTGAGGCAAGCTCTTTATGCATCCAAGATATGCAGTTATGCACAAGGGATGAATCTGATCCGTGCAAAGAGTATTGAGCAGGGATGGGACTTGAAGTTGGGCGAATTGGCCAGGATTTGGAAGGGAGGATGCATCATTCGTGCAGTGTTCCTGGACAGAATTAAGAAGGCATATGATAGGAATGCTGATCTTGCAAACCTTCTCGTGGACCCAGAGTTCTCGAAAGAGATTGTTGAGAGGCAGTCTGCCTGGAGAAGGGTGGTATGCCTTGCTATCAACTCAGGCATCAGCACCCCAGGTATGTCAGCAAGTCTTGCTTATTTTGACTCCTACAGAGGGAGAGCCTGCCGGCGAACTTGGTCCAAGCTCAACGAGACTACTTTGGTGCTCATACATACGAACGCACTGACATGGAGGCACTTTCCATACCGAATGGTTCAAGATCGCCAAACAGTCAAAGATCTAAGTCCAGTTTCCTTGCCATCCTACTCAAGCAGAGAACCCTCTTCATCCGAATAATTTCTGCTGACGATTTTATGCTGGGCGGAGCTTCTGCCAACTCTTTTCGGTGAAAAATTTATCCCAAATATGTTTTATCAGTTTTTTTTTAAAGACTTAGAAGTGTGCTTTGTTTTTCTTGTGCTTTTGGCAGATCTGTCCACCCCCACAGACCCCTCTCTAATATGGAAGACATAATTCTGTTCAATGTAGGGACTTTGTGGGGTGATAATCTAGACTGTAATGTTTGAAGAAAAAAATCAATGAAAAAAAATCTTATATTTCTCAATCTTTGCAGCTCAAATTATTATTATTTTTTTGTGCATTTTTCCTGCAATTATTGTATGTGCCAAATATTCCTCAAGTATTTGGATGATACTATCCACACACTTATGTTAATTTCTGTTCTCTGATCATTTTCAATTCATTGGATCTGACGGTCAAAAATTGATAAGATGAACAGTAAAAAGAAGTGTGCCGACAGCAGCAACTCAAAATTTTAGTTAGTTTTTTGGGTGTCAACCGTGTTCCATAAATCTGAATAATGTGGCTTCCATGTGCTAAATTCACTTCTAAGTGAACCAAATCAGTGAGGCATCACATATGTGGAAATAGGGTCCAAAAAAGCTTAAATTGGTTGTCAACCATGAACTATTTTTCCTCCCATGCTCTATCTTTGTTGACTGTTAGCTAAGAAAATTGTATCCCACATGTTCTAACTTGTATTCATTTTTACTTTACTTTACCATACAAATTCTCAGAATATTGAAAGTTTTAAAGTACATCAATGTGTGATTTAACAGTCGTCTGAATGTGAATCGACAAATTCAAAAGAATTTTACGACTGAATGTGAATCGAATAATCTTCAAGTGAATGTGATCCATTTAAAAGACATGTTGTATTGGAGGACTCCCCAAATTGTGGGGGTTGGTTTTCTTATGAATCTTATCTGATCATGTTGACTTAATGAATAATAAGGCAAAAAGCAAGGCAAAAGGACATGTTCTTTGTTTCTCTGTAAAATTCATTTTTCACTTTGCTAAACAAATGTTTGAGTGTGTTCTGTGCGGTTTTCTATGGTGCGGACGCATCTTGTTAGATAATTGCGAGAGATAAGTAGCCGGTCGATCTCCACAATATAATCATTCAACCGGTAACTCGCATTTCGCGATATCAGAGAACTTATATATGCTGATTACATGATAAAACGTGCAATTTGATGACAAATCACAGATTTTGTTTTTGAAAGTGGTAGAATATTCTGTGCAGTTGGAAGTACAGCCCATGTTGGGTACTTGCTTTGCTGTTGCATCTGCACATTTGTTGCAGAAACACTCTACCAACAACGACAATAACAATTAAGTCTTATTCTGCTAAGTGATGTCGGTTGTATGAACCCTAGAATGTCATAACGTTTAGTTTTGTGCCAAGTTTTCCGTTAGCTCCAAGCACTCCATATCTTTTCTTATAGTCTCTTTCAAAGTTTTCGTTGGTCTTCCTTTACCTCTTTTGTCTGATCCTCCATCTTATAGTCGTATTTTATAATCGGAGCACCTGTAGGTCTTCAATTTATGTGTCCAAACCATCTTAACCGATTTTCTCTCATCTTATCTTCAATTGCGGTCACTCCTACCAATTTGTAGTTTTTTTTTTTTGGGTAAATTACATTTTCATACCTCAGGTTTGAGGTCTAAGCACACCAGAGGCCAATTTTTTAGCGTGTTCTGTCTTTATCCACCCACCCTCAGACAGAATACTTATTACCAAAATCAAACAGAACTTGCCAAATTCATCTTAAAAATACAAATGAAAATAGTTTCTGATCACTGAATCTTTGAATCAAACGATATTTGGATGCAATGATATGTGGTTTCATGATTTCAACTTCATATCTTAAGTACTATTTTATTTCAAAATAATACCTCCGTTAATTTTCCATACATTGATATGTTAATGCTGACGTGGTTGCCCACATATATGTCATGTGGCTGCCAAATGTCTGTCACGTGGACAAATAAAATTATTTTTTATTTTTTTTTTAAAACCTGATTTTCTCAAAAAAAAAAAAAAATTTAGACCCACTATAAGTTAAACCCATCTATCCCTCCCCCCCCCCCCCCCAAGGGTGCCGCGCGACCTTCCCCCATTCCCCGTTCCCCTCGGATCAGGATCTTGTGATTTTCAATATGGGTGGTTTTGAAAATACTTTGAGTTTGAGATGATTTTTGGACTGGTTTTGTGGTAGATCCACCTAATCTCGGGTGGAATTTTTGTTGGTGATGCGGGATTTTTGGGAGGGGTGATGGGGGATGGGAGAAAGGGGTGGCTTGGGTGGGACGAACTGGGGCTTTTTTTTTTTTTTTTCTCTCCTCTCTCTCTCCCTCTTCTTCTTCTTCTTCTTCTTGTTCTTCTTGCAGTTTTTGGGTTCTGGGTTAGGGTAGCTGGGGGGCGGGGGAAGGCACTGGTTTCATTTTTTTTTTTTTCAATTTTTTTTCTTTTTTTGAGAAAATTCAGGTTTTTTTTTTTAAATATTTTATTTTCCACGTGGCAGACATTTGGCAGCCATGTCAGCATTTAACAGATCAATGGATGGAAATGTAATGCAGGTATTATTTTGAAATAAAATAGTACTTAAGATATGAAAGTGAAATGTTTTAAAGATGTAAGAAATTGAATAGATCCCAAACCAGATGTATAAAAATGTAATTTACCCTTTTTTTTTTTTTTTTTTTTGTGGTTAAACTCTATCAATTTTTCCTGTAACTGTCACAACAAAAAAACCTCAGCATTCATAGTTGGCATTTGTCTTTCTATGTTGATCTTTTTCTTTCCAGCACAACTTGTTAACATAAACACACATTCTACATAATAATTTGTAAGCTTTTCAAACTAGTGCATCAATATTTTCTTTTACTTGCAAATAGCGACATGTGTGTTTTGTGATCTTTCTTCTTTCCAGCAAATTGCACGCACCGTTTGCTTCATAGCCACATGGGACAGCGGCACAAACACTCAATACACAAAACGCATTATTGTTGAGAAAACTTGAGAGACAAACACACCACAATTTCTTGCTTGCAGAACATCAAAAATCGTTTTTTTCTTCTCGGAACTTAATTATTCCGAGATTGAAAGAATGTGTTGTGACAAAATTTAACCTTTCCACTTTCAACGGATGTTTTCCGCGATGATGAAGTTCAAAAAGAAATGCAGAAAAAAAGAAGAAAATGTGCTAATGAGATACAAAAGAGCGAAATAAGAACGCACCAAGAACTTTCGTGGAAGAAAGAAGAAATATATATCCTTCCTTTTGTGTATTCTACATATAAAGAACAAATATACAACTTCTTCGTCATTAATTTGCAAGCTTATAGTTTTCACTAGCAATTATGAGCTCATTTGAAAGTACTTTTAAAATGACTGAAAGTGCTTTTGACAAAAATGTTTTAGAAACTAATCATTAGTAAAAATCCAATTGGATCCTAGAAATGTTGTACTTTTATGCGCAAACGGAAGCGAATTTTAACAAACTACCAATATCAACGTCAAGGAATTTCACTAAACAAATGAAGATTACAAAAGAGTGTTTAAACTCTCACAACCCAAATCTCACAAATCAACTCTCACCAAATTGCCACACAAAATACACCAACCCTAAGGTCCTATTTATAGTGCACAGGACTTAGGTTACAATAAGAATCCTAATGGGAAGTAAATACAAATCCTAATCAAATAGGTAATTAACAAAATCTCTCTACCAAGGAAAACAACTAAGAATTCAAAATCCAAACCCAAATAGAACACCAAAACCAAATAGGTAACACAAATCTATTCTTTGCATCATCTTAATTTTGAGCCATAAAACCCAACAAGAAAAACACTTTAGGTACTTCATGCAAGAAACACTTATATGATGTTTCTTTCAAAAAAACAGTTTTACCAAAAATGTTTTTAGTCATTTTAAAAGCATTTCCAAAGAGCCTAATAATCTGCAGTACCCTTTGTGTAGGACTTGACGCCGCCATCAAATTCAGTAGCGCTGATATCGCATCACTTCTTTTTGGTACTCCTTTCACCAGTTTTCTTCTCTGGTTTGCTTGTGCTCTTGTGCCTTGATTGCTTGCCGTTATCACGCTTGAAGCGCGCAGTGCCTTTAGTCTCTTTACTGCGCGGACGCGCGAGATCATGGTGGTGACTTGGGCCGGAAGAAGCATCAGAAGCCATTGAATCATCACTCTCATTGTCATCTTTGCCAACTTTTTTCCTGGTGAGATATGCGATATAATGATGGTTTTTGTAACCGACATCTTCAATATTGCTGCATTCGGCATCATCTTCTTGCGTGGGAGAATCAATGTATGTTGTCCACCCTGATTCACTGCTGCTGCATCCTTCCGTCCCATAAAAATTTCTGTAGGGATCCATTACAAAAGTGGGGGCGAGAGAGAGAGAGAGAGAGAGAGAGAGAGGGGGGGGGGGGGGTGGGAAGAAAGGGGTTTTTGTTGTTGTGTGTTGGGGCGGGGGGGGTGGTCGCATGCACCTACGAAAATGCTATTACTATAAATATTCAAAATAAACAAGAAAGAAGACAACTTTCGTGGACTTTAATTAAATGAACAATATTTTGGTACTCCTAGTGTGGAATTACTTTTTAGTTTTGTTCAATAATAAATTAACAAGTATTTTATTGTTTTAAAAAAAATGAACATGTCATTAATTTTTCTTGGGTTTTAAAAAGTAAGTAACGCGTGACATTTTTAGTTGAGCTAAATCAGAAAATGAGTTTATAAAATACTTAGTGAGTACCTAATTATTATCTTTTGTAAGAGGAAACAGTTATTAACACTTCAAAAATCTCATTCTGCACTCTCACAAGTGTATTTTTTTTTTCTAATTACAGAAAGTTTAAAGTACAAAAAGAAATTTTTAGAGTGTTAATAGCAATTTTCTTTTTAAAATTTTAAATTGGATTGAAGTTCAAAAATGGTAGACTTTCAGGACTAAAAATCTGTGCAGAAGTGGCATGAATCTTCCAATTAAGGAAATGTAGTATAAAATGGGGTTGGTCTAATGGTCTGTGAAAAATATGATCGTTATTTTTCACATTATAATTGTTTGTAATTAAACAAAATGTGGCATGCACCTACGAAAAAGCTATTGCTACAAATACTCAAAATGAACAAGAAACAAGACAACTTTCGTGGACTTTAATTAAATGAATAATATTTTGGTACTCAGTGGAATCACTTTTTAGTTTTGTTCAATAATAAATTAACACGTATTTTATTGTTTTAAAAAATAATGAACATGTCATTAATTTTTCTTGGGTTTTAAAAAGTAAGTAACACGTGACATTTTTAGTTAAGCTAAATCAGAAAGTGAGTTCATAAAATACTTAATGAGTACCTAAGTATTATCTTTTGTAAGAGAAAACATTTATTAGCACTTCAAAAATCTCATTCTGCACTCTCATAAGTGTATTTTTCTTTCTAATTATAAAAAGTTTAAAATGTAAAATGAAATTTTTAGAGTGTCAATAACAATTTCCTTTTTAAAATTTTAAATTGGATTGAAGTTCAAAAGTGGTAGACTTTCAGGACTAAAAATCTGTGCAGAAGTGGCATGTATCTTCCAATTAAGGAAATGTAGTATAAAATGGGGTTGGTCTTATGGTCTGTGAAAAATATGATCTTTCTTTTTCACGTTATAATTGTATATAATTAACAAAACTGCCGACCATTAGACTTTTAGACTTTTAGTGCAAAATACAGATGTTCTCATTTTTTCTTACAAGGAAAGAGAAATAGTGTAAAATCTAAAACACTTTCTAGTATCTACACAAATTCTGTCTTGTCTAAGGGAAAACATCACATTCCAGCACATACTCCTGAAGCTTGAAGAATATATGAGACACATGCATGTTCATGACTGTTAGAACTGAACCTTTAAATCTGTGACTTGTCAGCTTTCTATGAACATGGGAGAAAAATGCAGAGAACCGAACTGGGGATTGGGATTTTAGAACAAGATTTTGAGACTTTTCAACTTTTTTTTATGCTTTTGTTCTGTCCTTGCTTTGTTTGATGTTGTCTATCTTTCTTAGAAGAGCTAGACATGATTTTATGCTTGTAAATCCCAATTTGAATACTAAAACTTAAAAGTCACAATCATATGCATGACTCATAGAACCAAAAAAACGTTTTAACTACTGCAAAAGGTTTATAGCTCAGTTAGTTAAGAGCACTTAACTTTATGCCTAAGGTCCTAAGTTCGATTTATCTTTCTCACAATGTCCGTTGTATAAAAACAAAATGTCAAAAAAGTTCAAAACGATAAGTTTAAAGCAAAGTAACAAAATCGATGATAGATGCATGAATGGATATAATCGGTGGTAAGACAAATTTTCCAAATGCGAATCACTTTTGAATTTTGGGTTGTTTCCCACTAACATTTTAATGTCATAACACAGTAGCACTTTAACTCACATGATACATGGTTTACACGTTTCCTCAGTGATTTCGTAGCTACGAATGTCAAAATACAAGCAACAAAATCTGAGATGACTTAAGTACCAAAATCTTATGAGGTAAAACGTGATTAGGTAGGATTGATTTAGGAGCTTCCACGCGATTATGAGCCCAATATCGAATTTGGGCTCATATTTTATCCAAATCCATATTAGCTCTCATTAATTTGAAAATTTGCCCTAATGAGTTTGACCTAAATACTCATTTTCTTTTATGGGTATCCACACACCCCTTTTAACTTCTCATACACTCTTGTTAATTTCTGTTCATTGATCTTCTTCAATTCATCCGATCCAACGGTTAAAAACCAAAAATGTGTAGGAAAAGTAAAAAGGGGTGTGTGGATATCACACCCCTTCTTTTATGGTTTTATTTGGTTTTTTTCAAGGGTTGTCATCCGTTATTTCTCGAAGGTATTGTTATTAGCACAAGTACACTCGTTCTGCCATGATGACAAAGGGCAATAGAAGGCTAAGGCAGTTACTATTAACGCTCAACAATAATTGCTTTAGTAAATTTCACCCACTCAAAAATTGTCACGATAGCATCACGTCAGCCTTGCATTATATGTGTAATATCCTGAAAAATTTTAAATATATGATTATGTTGAAATTTTTTTTTATCGGAAAATGAAATGACGAAAATATCCCTCGTTGACTTAACGTAATTATACAAGTATGTATTTTGTCCTCATATATATTCTTGGCATATTTGAATAAAGGACGACCCTACGAACGTATAGGCGAAAACCATTCTTAATTCCGAGTTAAAATGGAGAAGTTACGAGGCTCGGAAGTAATGAAACTTTTTAGACATGTGAACTTACTATTAGTAGTAAGTTTCCAAAGTCTATCTGCCTAAAATTAGCAGGTTCCCATGTATAGAAACCGGGTTCAGAGGCCCATGGAGTCCAGAAAAACCCCATTTGACCTCCCGCGACCTCCCATTTTCCGAGGTCGATTCCGGTCAACTCCGGTGGAGTTTTTCAACGCCACCACCACCATCTTGAAGCTTTTACTCCCCTCTACAAAATCCAACCAAGAACCACCTTGATTAACCACCGTATGTGACGGTGTGAGGCCATAAAAACAGATGAAAACCAATGGTGCTCCGGCCACTCTTTTCATTTCTCCGGTGAATCGGCAAAGCGATGGCCAATGCCACCACTTGGGTTTTATAGCCCATCATCCCAGGAGTAAATCCCGACTAGCTTTGATCCTGTTGGACCACCGTGGGTGACGAATCAACACAGGGAAGCTTTAGGCACCAGCCGGCTTTATCAGCAGAATTGACCCTCTTTCGTCCACTTTTGGACATCGTGATAGGTGTAAAAGTTGTTTCTCTTGTTGAGCTCTATCTTCCTGTGAATTTTGGTAGAATTTGGAGTTAGATGAAATAGTGGGTTTACGGTTGCCAGAAACCACCACGCGCGAAAGCGCGTGGGGGAGAACCTGTTTTCATGAATTTTGGACAGTGGGACATCTTTGATGTCCTGAGCCCATATCCAAGGTCCGTTCGTTGAAATTTGATTATATTCAAAATTTTCAGATAAGTGTACCGTCGTACGATTTTTCGTAATTGACGACCATCTAACCGTTGGATCATCATCAAACTTTGAGACATTATAGTACATAATATTTGAGGACTTTAGGAACTTACGGATCGGGAATCCACATATGGATCTTCCCAAATTGGATTTACAAGTTAGTAAATTAAAACGTCGACCGCCGCTCAAATGTTGTGATTAGCGGAGATTCGACTGTTGGATTTTAATGAAATTTTAGTATGTTGTTCTAGAAGCGTAAGGTGAATTATGAATAACTTAATCCCTTCATTTAGGGTACGTAATTAGTCTAACCAGGATATTAGATGCAACCCTAATATGATCAAATTGAATTTTTGGTGGTTAATAGTGCATTGATTAACTATGATAAATTTCGGGATGTTACAATGCGTCTCCAAGCAGCTCTTTGAGTTCGGGCTTAAAGTGGCCCACCACTTTCATGGTCAAGATTCAACCAATGGAGGTTTTTTTCCCAATGGGGGATTCTGGCCTTCGGCCTTGTCAATTCATCTAACAGTGGAAGTGCTCTTAGTCATACCACTCCGAAAATGTAAGCGTGCACTTTTTATATGAAAATATAAAAGAGAAATAATGCATAGATGAGTGTATGATGGTATTTTTAGAATGTTAATAACAAATCTCTTTATTTAATAAACATCTTCTCTTTGTTTAAAAAAAAAAAAAGCATATAAAGGGAAGTTTTAATCAGAGAGTGTATAAAGGGATTGAAGCGTGAACATATACACGTATATGTATATATTCCTAATAATGGTATATTTGCACTAAATGGTGAATGGATTAGATTGAGCTACACAATAAACCTGCCATAGTAAATTGATATCGAACTCGTCATCCATATACATTGAATTTAATATCTCTCACTTATAACTGGAGAAGAATGTTACTAAACCGTAATATTAAGTGAATACTAAAAATGAATATGTATTAAAATATATAATTAAAAATTCTCGGAAAAACTAAAAATGGAAATGATATTTAAATATTCATGCACATGTTTTTAGTTCATTTGTTAATGCATGTATGCATACCAAAATTCATAAAAAAAGATACATGCATCAACAAATAAACTGAAAGCATGTACATGAATATTTTAACATCAAATCCAAAAAGAAAAAGGATGCAAGATATGGAATAAAACTCTTAAAACATGGAAGGCTTTGAAGAATGATTGTAGATGTTCCAAAAATAAACCAAAAGAAAGTAATGAAGTGATATCATATTTGTACCATTTGTGTAAGGGCACTCTCTTCTATGTCTTGGGATCATTCCAAATGGTGCATTTGCCTACCATTAATTTGTTTCCCAGAACATAA